TTTTTTTAAATTAAGAATTTGAAGATAATTTATATGTTTACGTATATTACTTTTAAAAAAGAAATAATAGATAAAGAGAGATTTTTTTTTATAAAGAGATGATTAATTAAAATACATGAATAATGATATGATTAAGGTATGAAAAAAATATTTGTCTATTTTAAAAATAAAAAAATAAAAATTTATTTAAGACAAACTTAAAGTAAAAAACCAAAACCAATGGAGAAAATAGTAGTCATTGATCATGACATAAATCAATATAAACCCATATAATCAACTGTTGTAATAATTTTTTCCTATAATTTTATTCTAAAATTTGATGTCATTACTCAAATATAAATCATTCTAGAAAATTCTCATTCATGAGAGTTGGTCCAAGAAGGGAAGAGTCTCAAACAACCCCAATATTTTCTAGTCTACGCATAGAAATTAAAATTTCAATAGAATTTTATGTGAGAAGACTAGTATGTTAGGATTGAAGGAGCAAAATTTTATCTTTTTATTCCCTTTTATTCCCCTCTGCTTTTTTATTTGGATAAATAAATAAATTAAAAATAAAATAAAGCACTTTATTCTCCTTTTTTTTTTCTAATTTTTTTATAATCAAATAAAAAAAATTTCCTTTTCTTTTATTCTCTTCAACTTAAACATGCTGTGAGTTTTAACTTCACTAGTTAAGATATTAAACTTTGTTAATTAAAAATATTGAGTTTTTAATCTTAAATTAGATAGATAAAAAAAATTTAGAGAAATAAGAGGGCTATTCCTTATTATTGAGTTAGATTTCTGCATCACCGACTTGCATTGTTTTTTTTTTTTTTTTTTTTTTTTTTTTTTTCGTTTTTAGACAAAAAAAATTATAATATTAAATTAGGTTACTATCTATTTAAAATAATAAGATATACTCGACTTGAAGAACTAAGGGTACATTTCACCTGTTTTTTTTTTTTTCAGCGTAATCGCACCACATGGGGGAATGCAATCGACTTGCATTGTTTGTCAATGGTGAAGTGACAAGTTTGAAATCAGAGGCCGCGATGGGATGGGACCTAGTCTCCGTTATGCAACCTCCACATTGTATTCAAGTACACCGTGGGGTATGTGATTACTCTTGACTTGGTCCTATATGCAAAATTCTTTTGTTTCTCCATTATGCAACTTCTATAGGCTACTATTGTCAAATTAAGTTTTAGAAATTTAAATAAAATTTGGTTGAGACTAACATACCAAACTCAGATTAAACTTTTAATTTAGTTAAAATTTGGTTATCTAAATTATTTTATATAATTTAATTACTAATCAAATTAATTGAAAATTTTAAAATTGTTTATTCCTCCTTCAACTAATAAAAAAATATTTTTTTACTTAGTTATCTTAATAAAAAAAAGAATTGTGAAAAATTAAGATGTCTTAGTAATTAAAATATTAAAAAAAATAATAAAAAACTTAAATGTCTTTAATAAATCAACACACAAGGAAGATTCAATAGGATTATTTAAATAATTTCATAGATAATCCTAATATTTTAAAGATTGGAATGTCTTAATTTTACTTTTTCTTAAAAAATAATTTAGATAATTTCAAATAAAAAAGTGCTTTTTTTGGTAATTTTAAAAATATATTAATAACCATATTTAAACCAAATTTATTTTCAATTCACTTTAATTTTATCAAAATTAAATTATATGAACGAAAACCAAAAATTCTTATAAAAAATTTAGATATTTTAGTAATAGACTAAATGCCTAGAAGATATTAATAATATAGCCTTAAAAAGAAAATACAGCATATGATCAACTTTTCAACCAGTAAACCAAAATCAAAAGGAAACTACTACAATCGCATATGACACAAAGATCCTTAATGCACTCTAAGAACACGGTGGGAAACCATCTGTTCTAACCCCTGATTTTCCCCAATCCTTAGTGTCCGTGTGGACCGGAGTAATAGGGTCCATGAGGCTGTAGAATTGATGCTGAGTAGGCTCCATGGGCCACCCAGTAAGGCGGCGGTACGTCAGCCAGGGATGGTCTGTAAAACCCATGTCTCTGGCACTCTAAAGCCGGCACTGGAGAAGGGAAATAAGACTGTTGCGGAGCAGGAGAGTAAAAATCATCCAGGGAAGGATACTTGATGCTCCCTGAGTACTCATCATCATCCTCCAGCTTGGGGTAATGAACTTTCTCAGCCAGAAATTGGAATCCAGTGTGGTTCTTTACTACCTTTTTGGTGCTCCCGACCAACTTGTATGAAAAATTCAGCACCCCATTAGCCTTTCCATCACAGCTTCTCACCTGATAACTCACAAACCTCAAAGCCTTATCGAACTCATCTATGAGGTCCTTCATTGGAACCCGAACTCCGCCAATAGTTCTATTTACCAACCCTTCACATCGCAAATCGAACCTGAGAAAAAGATTATCACGGTGATCATGAGATAAGCTTCTGAGATCAAAGTGAAACAGGTGATTCCATTCAGGGTTCCCTCCTTCACGTCTGGCGATGGGCGTTTTCTGACACTGCAGACGTTTTTGTTGTTGCTCTTTCCTGTTCTGCTCTTCATCCACAATATATACAACAGAGTAGACTGAAAGCTTCTGGAAAAAATTGAAGGCTCTGAGACCCCTGCACGAAATGAGTGTGAGTTCTAGGGAGCCCCACTCCATCTTATATTTTTGTATTCAGGCTTTCTGGTGGAGATGAGGCAAATTGAATTGAAGAAAGGGTAAAGGGCAATAAATAAATAAGCTTAAAAGGCAAGACCAGGTCCAGTGAGAGTAGTATTCAAGGATTGGTTGACTACTATCGGTCCCCGTACTAAATTATAGTCAAAACGAGTGATAGCGGTGAATATCACAAAAACAAATAATAATAATAAAATAAAAAGGGGAGAATGCCGTAAGCACTATGATGTTGGTTACTCCTACCCAATGACCAAATCCAAGGAAAATAAATAAAATAATAAATAAATGTTTGAATTATAAATAATAACTATTTGTTCGTTTAAAATAAATATCAATGATTATTTGTTAATCTTTAATTATATGGATAAAAATGTTTAAATTATACATAATAATAATAATAATAATAATAATAATTAACTATTGTTGCTTATCAACAATGAGTTACCATATGTTCCTTGCCATGCAAAAGAGACGGGCACCAAAACTTTGTATCAAATCTAACATATTAAGTGCAAAGTTTTAAACCATATGCTATTAACATATCTAAATATACCCAACCTAAGCGGTTTAATTTAAGAAATCATCTATTCACTATTATTCTTTTTTCATTTTACTTTAGAATCTTTGTTTTCTTTCAAACTTATCTACTAACTTTCAAAATTGTTTCATTTTCATCTACCCTTATACAACTCTGTTAACTAAATTGACGGAACTTCCCAATTCTAATTGTGTGGTGCCATGAGAGCCATTGTGTGGCCCACTTAAGCTAACATGTGACCTAAAAAATGGGAGGGAAATATTTTCACTTCCTTATTTAAGGTTAAATGCTTAATTTTAAAAATGGATAGTAATATAGGGACAATTTTGTAAAACCATAGAAGAAATGGTTTACTATGACAATGAGTTTTTTGTCAAGTTGGGACTAGTTTCATCATAGAATTTGTAATCAAGTTGACAAGAAGCAAGGGGATTCATGAACAAGATGCACAAGCAAGCAAAGAAAGAAAATTTTAGAGGGCTTTAGCTCCATATCTAGACCTTGGATCAAAATGGTAACAAATTAAAAATTTTGCAAGCATAAGAATACAATTTAGGTTAAAACCTCATTTTGGTCCATCAACTATTCTACGGACCCCCGATTTTGGTCCCTGAACTGAGAAAATCCCTGATTTAGTCTTTACTGTTTACCATTTTAACCTCAACTTTCCTTCTGTTAAAATTCGACTTACGTGGACCATTACTTGACGGAAAAAAGATGACAGATTAAATATCTTGACACGTAGGACTAACAATGAGATAAATTATAAAGATAAAATTATTAAATGTTAAATTATAAAGATAAAATTACGTTTTTACCTTCATCTTCAACCACACATCACTTTTTTCCTTCCTCCTTTCATTACCCCTTACTTTTCATCTCCAACCTATTTCGTTGTTCATCTGCTTCCCTTGGATCCTTGTTTGCCGGCTTGGGTTTTAATCCTCTCCTTTTCTCATCTCCTCATCATCTCTTTCCTTTCATCATTTATCATCTCCTCTTTAAAACCCAACAGATCTGCTGGGTTCGATTAATTGAACCTAGCGATCTACTAGGTTCTCAACAACCCAGCGATATGCTAGGTTCTCGACAACCCAACGATCTATTGGGTTCTTGAGAACCCAGTGATTTTGATGGGAATCAAGATGACCCCACATGTACCACATCAAGAGATCCATTATACATTCCAGGAGGTCCAATCACGAGAGCTAGAGCTAGAAAGATGCGAGAAGCTTTAAATGGCCTTATTGAGCAGATCTGGGTTGATAACAACATGCGACAAGTAAATCGAAGCTTGGATGATTATCAAGGCATGGTAAACATCATTCAGATTCAAGAGAAGCTTAATTGAGGTCATTTATGCTAAATTACACAGTTTGCGTCAAAATCCCGCAATTTGGTCGCAATTTATAACAAACTAATGTTTCATGTTACTTTAAGTTACTTTAAGTGATTTCATGTTTTTTGTATTATTTTGGGCTGAACGTTCATTTATTTGAGGCCCAATTTGTGGTTATTAAGATTAGGGCTTAGGGTGTTAATTTCCTATTCTGATTAGAATTACTTTTCTCTATTTAAAGGGCTTGTAACCCTAATTGGGGAGAGCCATTGAATCTAAGTTTTTGAGAGACTTTTCTCTTTGGTTTATTTTAGAACTTAACATAACTTATCAAGATTATTCTTGTGGTGTTCTAACCTGACTTATCATTCTTGTTTTTAATCATTCGAGGGTGTGGCATCAACCAACTTTATACCTTTGGTTCTTGTTGCGTCATAGACAATGGCTCAAGGTTTTTACCTTTGGTTCTTATTGCGACATAAACAACGGGTCAAGGTCCTATTATAAACCTGATTTGGTTTTCTTGGAGTTTAGAAATCCCTTGTCATGCTGTGGGCCTCATTGTTCTCTTTGAGGTTTTCATCAGATTTGCTGGGTTTGATTTTTTTTAAAATATTTATGTTTAGAAGCTTGAATTTTAGGGATATTTTTGGGTTGCAGCTGATTATTTTGCTAATGAATAGTTTGTTTGTGTGGGCTGTTCTCATTGACAATTTGGCAAAAATTGGTTATGAGGAAAAAAAATTGCATATGGTTGCTTATGATTATCGAACCTAGTGATCTGAGAACCCAATAGATGAACCAAGCGATTTGCTGGGTTTGATTTTTTTTTTTTTTTAAATATTTATGTTTAGAAGCTTGAATTTTAGGGATATTTTTGGGTTGCAACTTATTAGTTTGCTAATGAATATTTTGTTTGTGTGGCCTGTTCTCATTGAGAATTTGGCAAAAATTGGTTGAGGGAAAAAATTTGCATATGGCTGCTTATGATTGGAGACTTTCTTACCAGAATACAAAGGTTGAACTTAGAGATCTGCTGGGTGGGTTCGATGGAACCCAGTAGATCTACTGGGTTCGAAAGACTTAAAAATGCTTTAGTTATTTTTTTTAGAGTTTTGGAAAAATATGCCTTGATTTTTCTAGGTTTTTTGGGGAGGCTGAAAGAAAGAATTTAGGGCGGTGATTTGTCTGGGGAAATTTTGGGTTTATATTATTTTTTGATTTAATATTAGAAGGTGTTAGGGTTTGCAGAAGGCGAAAGAAAAGGAAGAAGAAGATGAAAGGGGAAAAAGAAAAATCAAAGGAAGAAAAAAAAAAAAAAGGGAAAAGGAAATATTTTAAGGTTTTTTCTTGCAATGTCATTGTTTTTTTGCCATGTCATTGTTTCTTTTGCCATGCTGTCATCTTTTTCTATCAAGTAATGGGACACGTAAGTCAATTTTTAATGGAAGGACCAAGTTGGGGTTAAAATGGTAAATAGTAGGGACCAAATTAGGGATTTTTTTAGTTCAAGGACCAAATCGGGGGGCTATACAATAGTTGAGGGACCAAAATGGGGTTTAACCTACAATTTAATAATTGTAATTGCCCTCTTCAATCAACCCAACTAAGAGAGAAATAAATCACTCAAGTGTAAATCAGAAATTATTTCCACATCACAAATTTAGAACCATATATGAATAGAAAGCATTGAAATTTAGCTTTCTCTTGTTGGAATTTTAAGAATCAACATATGTAGAATTTAGGATACCAAAATCTAATAAAATAAATACATTGCGTAATTAGATCTCCTTAATCAATATATTACTTAAGAATTTTCAAGTATCTTCAAAAATCATCATAATTAGGGATCTTATGACAAAATCTACAAAACAAATATAGTTAGTATTGGGATTTAGGTCTTTCTCTCCCTAATCAACTTCTATATGTTGACTCAATGTACTCCAAGAGGGGGGGTGAATTGGAGTTCCAAAAATTCTCCCCTTTTTGCAACCATAAAACCAAAAATAAAGAGAGTAGAGAAGAAGAGCTTGCTCAATAATTTTATAGAGGTTCGGTTCAACCACTTGGAACCTAGTCCTCTACCTTGGCTTTACTCACCAAGGATTTCCTCCACACTCTCCACTAACAACAACAAGGGTGGCTTAAAGGAGCCACTCAATTCTTTTACAAGAAAAAGGGTGTTTCTCTCAAATCTCACCCCTTTATACTTAAACTCCAAGAATCCTCTCTACAAATCACTCTTGAAGGATTAATCACACCCCCAAGATCACTCACAAATAGAACAAGAAGAGGATTACAAGTAAAGATCTCTCAAAGATCAAAAACTCAAGTTAAAGCTCAAGTAGGTAGGTAAAGATATTCAATGCAATGCTCTCTTAACTACTTCAGATATGTTACCAACCATATTTATAGCCCCTTGCTCGAAAATAGCCGTTTCTAGCCGTTGGGGGTCATTAAATGCTCTACAGGATGCAAAGCTCGAGTTGCAGGATTGTTAGGAGAGCTGGCTGTATACCATTTATGCAGCCGGCTTTGCGGGATTCTTGCATTCTATTTTTTCCATAGAGCCGACTTAAAAATTCTGCAGCCGGCTTTGCGGGTTTCCTGCACATTCTGTTTTCTTCCACAGCCGACTACAAAGCCTAGGGCCGGCTTTGGGATTCCAACTTTAAACACATTAAATAATCTTCAAATAACTTGACCGCTGTGCATTAAATGCACCCTTACAGCCAGTTGCAAAGTTAGAGCCAACTCTGTGTCTTTTCTTCACGCGTGCCAATCAACGGACCTTTAAGTCTTTACCCGTAGAGCCGGCTGCAGCTTCTAGAGCCGGCTCTCTACACTTCCATTTCACCAGAGCCGGCTACAGCTTTCAAGAGCCGGCTCTCTGCACACACTCAAGCCTTTTTGGTCCATTTTTAACTGCAGTCCAAGTTTACTTGCAATCTTTTAGTAAATTAACTATACACTTAAATAAACCAATTAGTCAGTCAAATGTGTCTTGTAATCATCAAAATCATAGGTACAACACTATATAGTGACAACCAATGGGTCATGCCACTCCTTAACTTTACTATTTATAGAGGCAGAGTTTTCTGAATGGAAGAGGGGACCTAACCTATTATAATCATCTTTTGGGCACCCCTATCAAGTAGCTCACCTTTACTTTCAGGCCCTACACCTATTCATATCACACCATGTAAAACTGAGATAAAACCTAGACTCACTTGCATCACATTACTTTATTGAGCTTTACCGGTTTTTCTATTTGACCTAATTTTTGAAAACCAAATACAATTAGCAGTAGCCCACATAAAAATTTCCAACATCTCTTACCAACCAAGCAAATCTATAAGCTAAAACCCGGGAAAATGAGGAACAACCCTTAAACTCCATGATCAAGACAAAACAAATAAAAATCAAAATATCTAACAAGATCCTAGCCACAATCACCTTTTCAATAATTCTCAAATTATAGATCATGAAACTAGTTACAAACAAAACAACCCTTCAATAATTCATATACCTATGAATAGTTTTAATGGACCACTAAGATAGATTTATCAAATGAATCACTTAAATATTAGCTATTGCTAGGACTTGAGAATTAGAAGCGAAAGAAAAGTTCATCACAAGCAAGACTTTTTGGATGTGGGATATGCTCACAATTCACTCAACCATTATAAGAATTTAAAAGAAAAAGAATTGCAATGCACCTATGTTGTGAACTTAATTATTACATATAGCAACTATTAACTAGGGTAGTGAACGTGACAGCCACAAATGCAAGACTATAGTGCATAATTTTATAGATAAAGCCAGAGATGCAAAGGTACCAGGAGTTAGCACAAATGCAAATACCCAAAAATTTAGATAAAGATTAGAGGCTTATCAGAATGAATTGATCGGTGCTAGAGAAGAAGAAATATAAAAGAGTAGCTAATTCTCGTGAAATGAGGAGAGATGAGAGGCAATCGATGTTTGATAGATTAAGAAAGAAACAAAAAAGAAAAGATAGATTTCGGACTTCCCAAATGATTGCTGTAAACTTCGTCGGAGTGGCATCAGCTAAGGCGATGACTAGTGAGATAAGGAGAGAAGAGAGGCGACCAACCAATCATGATGGAAGTGAAGAAGATAGGGGCCAGAGAATGATTTTGTTTTAAGTCTAAAAAAATTAAATCCCATCCCTCCATATAAACCATTTGGAGAGGTGGGATATCTTTGTAGTCTTTAGGTTAGGATATCCCATTAATTAAATTCAATCTCATTCATTAAATTAAATCTTAATTTTGTCTAGTCTATTTATAGAAATTAGAATTTTAATAGAATTTTGTGAGAAGACAAGTATGTTTGCGTTGAGCTGGAAGAGAATTATATTCTTTTTTTTTTCTCATATTTTATTTAGATAAATAAATAAATTAATAGAAAAATAAAATAAAACACTTTATTCCTCTTGCTTCCTCTTTAATTTTTTTGATAAGGATCACGATACGTACACACCCTAAACCCACACCCAATGCTACACACAACCGGTCCATTTATTAAAATATATTTTCCTCACATGGGTTCCCCTCCATCCCTCCATCCACTTATTCTTATTTGTGTAACCAAACACACACAGAAAATAATACCCAAATTTGTTCCATCCCAATTTCCAACACCTTCTTCCTTCTTTCTTTTTCCCTTTTTTTTTTTTTTTTTTTT